GAGGGGGAGGGGGTTGCGGGAGGATGGCGGGCGGAGGAGGAAGGGAGACAAAGCGAATGGTCGCGGAACGGCGTTATACGAATGGCGAGCGATCGACCTCGTGGGTCGTGAAAAGGCGCACGATCCGCAATGCGAATCGGTGGGGGGTTTCCGGGGGCAGAAGATGGAGGAGGAGGAGGAGACGTGGAAAGGGCGGAGGGGGACAGAAGACTCACTCAGCCGGGCCCCGTCCCCGCTGCCTGTAATGCCTGTTACCTGTACGTCGCGTGTTTGCCTACCCGCGTCACGATCAGGATCCTATTTGCATAGCGCCGATGAAGCTGCTACCGTTCTGCGCCGTCTGCGAGTCCCTCCCCTCCCGGAGGACTCGCGTCGCCGGTGTACGTGGGTGTACACGGGGTGTCGTGCAAGTCGTGGGCTTCCTCCCAGAACCGAATGTGCCCGGGAATTTTTAGGAGTCACGACGATTATAATACGAAGGAGAACTCGCGTCCCCGAGAGAACCGCAGGTTCTTTCGCTCGGTTAAAGAAAAAAGTTGGGATAGAAAATTTTCAAGAAGCCTCTCTCGCTACGTTGAGAATTGAAAAGCCCCTCTCCGTCTTAAACATTTCAATCGCGCAAAACAGCTGCGCAGTGCATTGGCTAAACATTGGCTAAACACGAGGAAGAAGAAGAAGAAGCTTGACCAATGTTTGGTCAATGCACTGTGCTACCAGTGAGCCCTGCTCGAACGACTGCGAGTGGAGTCCCCCCGCGGAATCGCTACGCTGTGGATGCACTCGGCGACCGGTCGGGAGTGTGGCGTAACGATACAAGGTTAAACATTGCGCATGTAACCAATTTTTGGGGGCAAACAGCTCATTGGTTCTTCCTGCATTCAACCGCAATGATTTGCAGTTTGAAGGCTGGGGCAAATTCAGTAGTTTGGGCCACTTCTGATTGGTTGACACCGCGCATCCACCAGATTGCTTCACCTTGTATCTTTACACCATGATCGGGAGAGTGACGCGTGACGTATCTCGAAATTTCCGTTTATTAACCGAGTTTGAGCCGAGCAACGTCGACCGTGACTGAGGCGGCGAGGAAGGAAGGAAGGAAGGAAGGGTTTGGAGCGCGCGGCATAATAAATGCCCGGCATACCTACTTATTACTTTAACGAGCAGACGCTTTTGCATCGCGCGCGGCTTTCGCGGCACGCGTGCCCTCGCGGTCACGGAACCCGCGATGATTTACCGGCGCATCACGTGCGCCCGCGCGACTCCTCAAGCGTACGTCTGGTATACGTCTGGTGTACGCGTCTCTGATTGTTTTATCGATCTTTGTTAAATTAACGGGAATCGCTTTTGCCCCGCTTTCGTCCGTGGGTGTAATTCAATCTCTTCGCGAGCGCGTCTCGAAGATGTACGTTATACACGTGGCGTCGCGCGGATCCTATTGTACCCCTTGATTACTCCTTCCTTGACGAGTTGACACGTTGAATATAATTCTGTTATACGTTGAATAATGTTGAGAAACGACAAATACGATTTTCCCGGTGAGTGAAAAGGTGAAAGCATTTCTCAGCGTTTCGTCAGCCGAACTTGTCCCAAGTCGAGGGGTAAACCGCTGACCAAAGTCGTGTACACCAATGCCTACTAATGCCCGATGGGCATTACTTTATCTTATCATGTCGTTTTATCTTTTTAGATTTTTTATAATGCCCCAGCAAGGCCAAATGACACCCACTAATGTCCGAAATCTGTACACCACAATGCCCTCAGCGGTCCTCGTCCCAAGTTTAATTGATCCTATGTGTTTCTTTCCAACAAGAGGCGCAAAGCTTCCTTAAAATTAACGTCCGCTTCCGCAAGTCGTGACTTGAAAAATTCAGAGCTCGCGAGATACCAAGGATCCCAGAGTTCCTCTGATTCAGAACTGCGAAGATCGAGGTAATTTCCACAGCTCGAAACCGCAGGGCTCGGGGTCTAAGGTAATAAGATATCTAACTAACTTATCGTTGCGTGACGCATCAATCGCGTCGGTAGCACCGGTAAATCGGCCGGAATTTGAGGCTCATTAGCGGGAACGGAGCATATCGGAAGGACGGTGGTGGAGTGGCGGGATCGAAAGTACGAGCTTCCGGCTCCCGTTCCTCAGCGCGACGCCGGAGTCGCTGCGATTGCTCGCTTCTTGCATAAAGCGGGGGCCGAAGGTGTACACGGGCGCGGCGGTATCGGTTCCGAGAAAGGCTTATCAGGCCGCGGATATGTTAATGGCGGCCGTGTTGCCTCCCCCCCCCCCCTCTTCCCCCGCCCCGCCACCTCTTCGAGATATATTGCACCCCAACCGTTGCACGACGGAGGTGGTTGGACGCTCGTAAAGGTGGTGGTCGTAGGTGCAGCCGAGGCGCGCAGCCCCCTTTCACGATCGGCGATGTATGCAATGTGCATGCACGCGCGATTAAGAATGCCCCGAAGAGATTAATACGGGAGTCCCTGAAGATTAAGTTTCTCGACTGATCGCGAGAATATTAGAAGCGCATTAGAGTTTCGTTATTTTCTCGGAACTCACCCCGCATTCCTCGAACGCCGCCTTCCACCGTCCCTTCGTCCGAAACCCTCTAAAGCTCGGAGATCTTATTACCACACTCCCCGAGCTGGACCTTTCAATTTTCTTTCGATTCCTTTGCAGTTAGATTTGATTTTAAGATACATCGCTCGAGATGTTGCGCTTCTACTTTGTACTTTCAAGAACTTTCTTTCGGAAGCCAGAAGCCTAAATCTCCAAAACTTTTCCTCTTTGAAATTTAGCATATTTAGAGCTGTGAATATTCGGACTCTCTCTCTCGCGCCTTCGGGGAGATCCTGAAATTCGGGTTGTCTCAAAGCCTTTTAAATCCACGGGCCATTGTGCTCTTGAATTTTCGGACGTGGGAGGATTATCGAACGCCCGGGTCGCTGGGATCTCCGTGCCGATCGCGAGCCCGATCCAATGATCATCTCGAAATCTCCTACTCGATAATAGAACCTCGGGGAGGAAAGGAAACCAACCGCGCGAGATAAGAGAGCTTATCTGCAGCCTCCATCGTACACACCTCTCGCTTCAATCATACGATAGAGAGATCTATCCGCGACCTTCTCTCTACCGTACACCTCTCTCCTCTGCAATCGCACATCTCAGCGATCACAGAGATGGAGCGGGAGCAAGAAGAAGAGGAGTAAGAAGAAGCGGCGGACGAGGGTCGCGTATGAACTCGCAGACGTCGTCGCTGGCGAACGTATGCATGGCTGCGCAATTAAGGCTCGCGATCGCGCCCGTTCCCGAGAGGGACGGAAATAGATTGTAGAAGAGAAAAAGGGCCACGCCACGCCATGCCACGCCACGCCACGCCACGCCACGCCACGCCACGGCCGATCCATCGATGACCGCTTATTTACAGAGAAGCAGAGAGGAAGGAACACGACCCGAGTGTAGATGCGAGCGCGGGATAGCCCACGAGGCGCGCTCTGCAACCCTTTACCCAATCTCCCCAGGCATCTCTCTCTCTCTCTCTCCGAGTCCTCCCTCGCGTCGCCCCCCCCCCTCTGTCACTCTCCCCATGCCCGCTCCTTCTCCTCCTCGCCCCGAGGAGGCAATTAAAGCATCCGGGTAATTCTCGAGCCCCGATCTCTCGCGACGACGAACCACCTGGTGGATCGTCCGGTCTCCCGAAGTTCTTAACGATCGATCGAAAAAGGAACGTCTCGAGAATCGTGAAATGTATACATTTACATACGATCTCTTATATTAAGTCCCTGGATCGTAAACTACGTAACGTTACGTGATATGCCGAACGGTCAATTATTTCTTATCGTAGCCATTTGACAGTTAAGATTTAACTATTGGCACTAGAAAGGAACGCGATCTTCAATTACTCTTAACTAATAACTTGAACTTTTTCAGCATTGAAAGTTTCTTTCGAGTGTCCCTTCCTAACAGTATTGTATAATTAATTTAATGCGATTCTTCTCAACGTCGACGTTAATTATTCAAACACCGCTTAGAGAGCGGTAATGTCTCATTAACTCCCAAACTCCGCGACTGCAATTAATTTTCTCAGAGGTTCCTTCGATCGTGGTGATGTTCCTGACTTTCTGACGCGGGACTTGGAATTAAATCCCCTGTCAATGATCCATCACACACGCTCGCTGGGGCCAGCCCTTAGACACTAAAGTATTCGACAGGCTGCGCGCGAGCAAGCCGAGCGCGACCCCGAGGTGGGGGATGAAAGGTCGCGTGCGAAGGGTGCAATTGGGTGGCTGTGCCGGACGGGGGTAGACCGAGCCGACGAGAGAGTAGGGAACGTAGGGTACGCGAAGGGCCACTGTACCGAGAGCCCATTAGGCACCCGGACAGCCGGAGTTTCTCTCGTCTCGACGCCTCGCCCAGCCTCCCTCCGGTCCAGCGACGTCTCGTTATGGTCGTCTCGCGGGCTACCTCCGACCGGCACTGGCGATTTCTGAAGAAATGTACGCTTGTTTGTATACGCTTAATCCTGTAGAGTTTGCGGGAGTCGAATGAAAGGCTCGGGACGGCAGTGAGGTAAATCCGTAATTTGTAGAAACCAAGCGGTCTAAGGTGAATCTTGTAAATCACGGACGTGGTTTATTCGGTCTTCGACTTGTCTTCAAGTCTCGAATTCCTCCCGACGTTGTAGCTTCCCAAAGACTCCCTCGAATCTTCGGACGATCAAAATTCGACTTGAAATATTCGAAATTGTTGCGTTGTCATAATCTAGTTTCAGATTTTGAATTTCTTCCAAAGTACTTTTCGTTCGTTTCTATATTCTCACAAAGAATATAGAAAAGCATCTTTATGTTATCTAGAATTAATTATAATTTGTTGCTACCACTTTCAAAGTGCGTAAAATAATCTAGCGAGGTAAAACAAGTCGAAAGTTTGGGTGAAAATTTTTATAGCGTCAACTACTTCGCTGTGGACCGAGAATGCCGATTGACGAGTACCTCTGTTTTGGTTTCAGGGGAGGATGAGGAGTGGAGCGACTCGGAGAAGACCCCGTCGGTGAGCAGCGGCGTGGACGGCGGCGGATCGGCAGTGTCGAGTCCGGTCGCACCGCCGGTGCTCGAGGAGGACTCAAGTTTACCGCCCCCTCCGAGACTCAACCCTCCGTCTTCGACCAGCTCCTCCGCCAGCGAGGACATCAAGTTGCGCTTCAGCGTGCTCTCGGAGGACACGAGGAAGCGCCTGGCCAGCCTCACCGAGGACATCGAGGTGCAGTGACTTAGTTAATTTCACGAAACGCAATTGAAATTTACATTTAAAATTCAATCCTTTACTGAGAAACACGCGTTAAAAACTACAGGCTAGGGGTATAAGAGACCGCCATGCGCCGTCCAGGAGCGTGCGGACGCGAGAGTCGAGTCCCAAGGATGTCGACGAGGAGCAGCAGGCGGCCAAGGAGGACGAGTGCCAGCCGAGGCCGTTGTCCTCGTTGTCGTCCACCGCCGTCAAGAGGCGGGACTCCGCCTGCCGCAGGGACTCGGAGGACTCGGTTGCCGCGGGGGAGACCAAGAGGATACGACTCGACGACGAGGCAGCACCAAGACTGAGACTCAATACTAGTCTGGCGACGGATCCCGCCCTGCGACCCGCCGCCGTCGCCGCCCTTACCGTGAAGCCGGAGAACACGTCGCCGCCGAACCCGACGCCGCCGCTTCCGGCCGGACTGCAGAACGGTGAGTGGGGATCTGGAGCAACCAGCATGCACGGTGCTCTCGTTCGGAAACGCGTGAAACAGTTAGAGAACTATAGACGAAGGGAATTTTTAATCCGAGTCTCGCGATGATGCGATTTGCGCAACTACGGGAGAACTAAACGCTTGAAGAATCGATTTTAAACATTTCCTTGAAAGGTTTTACGGGAATCTTTGGGTGTCTGAAACGTTTTCTCTCTTTCTTAAGAATTAGAGCTTTTAAAACTGATACAATAGTTGGATGGAAACCTTCATCAGAATCTAGAGGAGCCGGGACCTTTAAAGATTCATGAAAATTAATTATGCCGTAAGAAATAAGCTCTCGTAAACTCATGGCCAGGGGGCCAGTCCTGATTGAATTGACTTCTTCAGCGATCGCGTCAGGTCGGCTGTTCGTCCTGCCGACCGACGGCAAGGAGACGATCACGGTGGAGCCGGCCAGGCCGCCGCCGACCGCCCTGATTTGCCCGCCGTGCGGCATCCGGTTCAGCTCGGCAAGCACCCTCGAAGCCCATCGCACCTTCTACTGCGCCCATCGACCCCGCGTAGAGGAGGACGCGGCGAACGACGACGACGACGACGGCGGCGGCGGCAAGTCCGGCGGCAAGTTCGAGACGCGGAAGCCGTACGCGTGCCCGCACTGCTCCTACAGCGCCGACAAGAAGGTGTCCCTGAATCGTCACATGCGGATGCACGCGGCCTCGCCGGCGCCGCCGACGGTGCCGTCGTCGTCGACGGCGGCGGTGGCAATGGTGGCGAACTCATCGGCAAGCAACTCGGCCGGAGCCGGTCAGACCACCGCGTCCAACGGTTCCTTGAACGAGGAGGCCGAGAGATACTGCAGGAACTGCGACATTCGATTCAGTTCCTTGAAGACGTACAGGTGGGTGGACGGAAGAATGGAATGTTGATATTGTCATAGAGAAAAGATTTTCTGGTCCTTATACAGGGGATCATTTGTGGAAGTAAAATATATACAGGGTGTTATGTAATACCCGCATCAACGCTTATTGTGGGATAGAGTGGACTAGACTAAGTCGAAAAGTCCTCTACCATTTTGCAATTTTCGT